ATTGCCAAGATTCAGTTCAAGATTTTGGAAAATTCTGATCGATAATCAATAATCGAAGATAGCCATTTGATTGTCCATGGTATTGGCAGTCTAATGGCGTTTACGGCATGTCTGTATGTCTATTCTGTGATTTTATATCATTTTTTTAACATATGCCGTTTTTGGTCGAAAACTCTGAAATCATGACGTCACTAAAACTTCGATATCTCAAAAATTTTCCGACTGATTTTTTTGAAACTTTGTCACAATACACTTCAATCAATTCCCTACAGGTACCCAAAATTTGGCGCGCCTGCGGCGCGCCGTTTTTATGCTATGGCCCGGCGAAAAAAGTGGGGGCGTTTAACGCCCCCCCAGCAACTCGTGGGTTAAACACTATTCTTTAGAATTGTGTTTTTCTATTGAAAAACAAATCTGAGTTCCCTGACAATTTGGCAAAAGTAATCTGCAGTTGATCTATGGATCATGCAAGTGATGTGACGATGGTGACGATACAACCACCGTACACATATTGAATCTCTGACAGCTGATCTCAGCTTATGTATTGGTGTCGTGTGCCTCACCGCCTGTCACCAGGCCACGCCACGCCACCAGCCACTGGTGAAGCAGCACTGCGGCTGGTCAGTGGTGAATGGTGACACATCGAACTCCGTACACCCGCAGCACTCGTCGTGTGCCGGTCAGCTTTACGCCCGCGTATCGATTACGGAAAGTGAGTCACAACTCGGCACTGGACAACATCAGTGGGTCGGGTGTCACGTGAGTCACCCACGGGTACGTATGTCACACCCCTCTCTCCAAACTCCTCCGCTCTCTCCTCCAAGGAATGTTCAGTGTCCAGCGCGTCACCGCTATTCCGTCATTGTTATGGATTGTTGACATATGACCTGGGTTCGAACGGGCCAGCTGCTGGGCTAGCTCCTACGGGCCAGACACACCCAGCTCGACACTGAATGGGCGCTTTGTGCATGCCACCTCTGATCAATGTTGCTCAGCGCTGGGATATACAAAGGGAAGCCTCCTCACGCTCCTTTCAGAGCCGAGGTGCCTTCTTTTAGAGGTGGTGATGCAGTCACGAAATGCACAGTAGCTGCTATATCAGCTTAGCATTCCTGACGAACACAGTTATCAATTTTCCGACAGTCACTGACGACAGTCAGCTTTTGTTGTCGGTTAGTGCATTCCGACATCGAGTTTGTAACTGTTATCCCATCCATCACCATCTAGTTGACGTCTGTCTGGAATCCGAACAAATTAGAGCAACACATAATCGACACTGGCCCTTCTTTTCGCCGTTTATTCCTTATTGACCATCGTTGAGCCGCTACATGCACTGCTGGCGGTACCTAAAGTGTAGGCGAAAACGCACCCTGCCGGCCCCAGCCACCGCCGCCGCCGGGTACGGCCGCCGGGGTCACAGGCCGAAGGCCGGCAGAGGACCGCTATTTTGGGCCGCGATCCGACGGATTTAGACCGCCGCGGCGCGGTTTTGGCCCGGTGATCGCGATGGCCGGCCGAACGGGCTCGCTGGCCGCCGGTCAGGTGGGCTTCAGGAAGGCTAAAAAGATTAGCAATCGGGACTGCCAGTTTCAACATTGTCTGCTTCATTATTAGTTTCAGACATCAAAATACAGAAATTTATGCAGTTTTCGATCTTTCTTAACACCTTTTCCCGGATGAAACGTCGTGTTTTCACGTTTAGTTACTGCCTAAGGCCTTTTTAATGTTCCTGCACACTGCACAGTTCTCAAATGAAAATCCGTATTTAAGTATTTTCATGTGTATTTGATAAACACCAAAGTTCAAATACACCATGCCCTCTTTCCTGAAATCCTTAACAAAGACACAAATGGCACCAGCACGGTCATTCTGCAGGCTGCTTAAAAACCTGCTTTGGCGTTATTGTCTGAGCTGATCCTCTCGCTTCCACTGAATGACCGACTGCGTGCCGTGTGGGCTGACCTCGACCGTCAGCAGTCAGCAGTCAGCCGTCAGCAGTCAGCCGTCAGGCGTCATCAGTCCTGCTGACGCTCGTTGACGGCTCTCGGTGTCAGACGTCATTCGTCAGTAATCGATCACCTGCCGTCATCTGACGTTCGCAAACAAAACGACCCACCGTGCGAGTTCGTGAACAGGCGGTGTTCTCAGGGGATAACGAAACCCAGACAATTATGTGGTTTAATAAGGTAAATAGCACTCCTCCAAGACTTTTATTCGCAACAATGGAGGGGCATATTGCGATACTAGGCCCGGAGCAACTGCACACACAAGTGTGACCAGTGTGCACACTAAAGCATCTGGCCTGTAACCGTTGGAAGAAAAGACTACTGATATGTTAATTTTAAACACAAGGACGCCACTTGACACATATTTGGTCCCGGCGCAGCACAGCTGATAGCTGGGTGTGAACGTTTAGTTATCGAACTCAACACAAACGGTCGAGTGCAAAGACAGACCCTTGGGAGCCTGCGTGCGTGCATATGTCCCCTGCCAGCATTCTTTTCAGCGCGGGACGGTGCCGAACACAGTCTTTTCATTGTTGTGATTCATGCCAAAGTCATGTAATAGTGCCCTTCATAAATTCCGGGCGGGTGTACCCAATTTCGGGCCTGTCACGTCTCACAGAGCTCCGTTGAAAGCCACACGACTGCCACCACGCCACACTGCCCACACACACTGCCACACGGGCTGCCACACGGCCCTGGACGTCCCGGGCATCCAGTTAGGTACGACATACCTACTCCAAGCCAATCTAGATCATGGCACAGGCATGAGAACTAGCTCAGACCAACTTATTGGTGACCTATGACCTAAACCATCAAAGTGCAAATGCGCCTCTCTAAAGCGCCATCCCAGTACTCTCAATGTCGGTCGATCCTTCATGGCCTCAACTGCAGGTATATCACTGCGCTAAAGCACGCAGTAAACCGGATCGCCTCGCCGAAACACGCCGTAAACTAAGTGAAGCCGAGCCAGTACCAACATCCGCGGTCAGGTTTCGCCATGCGCCGACACATCGCATGCGTGTTGGTTGGCAGCGCTGCCAGCGCAGTAGACGGTTGATAGCGCAGGACGCTTAAAACTAAGTCGGGAGGCCAGTTGCCAGCCAGTCGGCACGTCAGCACCTATCAGAGGGCTGGGAGATGAAAGGGTTCGGACGTCAGGCCTGATAGAGTACCCCACCGCGGCTGCCTAGTGACCGCGGGTCCCGGCAGGTTCAGGATCACTTAGGACAGCTCGCCGCTAAATAAACACCGTAGGTGGCAGGCTCAGGCAGGTCAGACATCACTGACATCGCCGGAAAGTCACCACTAAGCTACTGGTCGCGGCACCTGGCGACCACAGAGGATGGGGAAGGCGTGCTGGAAGTGCAGTTGTCCGCAGGAGCACCAATGACCGCCAAACTGTGGGAAGGGGAAACGGGTAAATACTTTGCGGCGGGGAGATATGTCTGCAGGTGTAAGATAAAGGCCGAAAATGATGACAAAGTGAAAAGATGCAACAGCATGGATGATAGATGTTATTCCTCTTCCATATGGCTGCGGGAAGGGCAATGTGCACGTGGGTGAAAGGTAAGGGACAAATGCCAAGGTACAGGAGCAAGATACGAAGGAAAAACGCGGGATTAGGTAAAGTTTTGACGGGACGAATGCAGCAGATGATGGGAGAAAGGAAGGATACGGAAAACTCAATCACCGTTCGGCCGTCTGATTGACCACGATGGCAGAGAACAGAAGGCAACGAGCCACCGCAGTAACTGCCGGCCTTCTACAATCCCTGCTTCAATCTACAGTGAAGAGAAAACGGCGACCGTCTGTTTCAACAGTACCGACCAGTGTCTTTGTCACAGACTTGTAACGTCAGCGAGGATCAGAGACACCGACAGGGTCACACAATGAACGCTGATCCGCGATTGTGTCTCGAACGTCGGATCTGGTAACACCGTGGTACGGAGAGCATGGCAGGACGTCGTTTGGCCGGTTACTGCGGAACATAAAAGCCGGCCTAAAAGCGCCCGAGTGCAGATTGTCATTTATGGTCTTTGAGATAATGGGTGATTATAATCTAGAGGTTTTACAAGAGCTTTAACTGGAAGATCTGTCGCATGACACGGAGATTAGAAAGCCGAACAAGTGTTAAGTCTGTGTTACTACTGATTATCTTCGTATTTCGCACGTGCCATCATACTGGGTCACTTTATCTAGCTCCAACCGTCCGTTCGGAAATGCTTCAGCCTCGAGTTTGTTTTTATCTGATCAGACAGAATCCAGACGCTACCTACCTCTCATAAATCCTGCAACAATGCTACAAATCGCCTTTGCTCGCCTTGCAGCACCTGGGTGCACCATGAACAAAGACCACCAAATCCCTTGCATTGCATTCCCGACACAGGTCTTTGCCGGAACCATACGACTGAAGGCTGCTTTCAATGCGAATGATACGATTTCCCGTGCTATCGTTTTAATGCGCGGTTGTGCGATTCAGAGAGCCAAGGCGTGCGAGGAGTGTTCAGCTGAATGGGCTTGATCTTCTGAAATAGTGCGTGATTCCCCGGATATTGTCGATTGTGGTTCAGTAACAACGCTCTAACCTCCAGTGACTGAACATTTGCTTTATAACCATTGCGGTACTAATATGGCATCAGATATCATTTGATAATTTAATGCCATTATTTCCTCACAAAATATGTAGGACAACTTAACTTTAACCGCTTCTTAAGACAAAATAGGTCCACTTGGATAACTTAGCTGCCTTTATCCTAATTTGTACCATTTCGAACAGCACCACTTCCATGGAACCGAAAGGAATGGCAACCAAATCCACAACTAAAGATAAAAGGAGGAGGCAGCAGAAGTCATTCAAATAAAACCCAATGTCCAGCGCAACAATTTTTTCCCGTGACCGAGAATCACCACAAATCTTAGCAAAACACACCAACGCATTGGTGTGGTTTGGTACTATTCATCAAGCCCCGTTGAGCACGTCTTTCTTCTACTTACCATTACGCACGAGCTGGACGGAGCCGCGGACTAGGGCGCAGTGTGTGGTCACTACCACCAGCAGAACAGTCCGGGACAGGCGCGCCATGGCTCGTGGTCGGGTCAATTCGCGGGGACCCTCGACCCACCGGCAGCGGGTCGCACCGATCTACTACTGTCGTACCGGCGGGCCTGGACCGTCGACCGACCGACCCGCCGCTGGCCCACCCTCTGGCGGCCAAATCGCTGACTAGACAACGACCCTGAACTTGAGCCGGTGGGCATGGGTTGACCGGGGGGGGGGCAGCAGTGCCCTCGGGAGGTTATTCCGAGCCCCTCCGGCCTTGGTCTCAGCTGACGAGAGCACAAAATAGGGCCGGCGTGGCATTCCTCCATGTCTGCCGTCGGCGCCGGCGAGAAACGCCGCCGATGACGCCTCCGATGACGACAGTGATGACGCCTGCCTTGGCCGTGAGGGCGGACAGATGTGGCGGCGTGATGACGAGAGAGCGGCAGCAGCTGAGGAAGACGTATGTCTCACAGTCCACTGGGCCCACAGAAACGACCTATCTACCATCCCTGCACTTCAAAGTTCTCTAATGTTCATTCTTGACATGCGGATGTCTACATAGATGTTGTCTAGTCTAGATGTTTGAGTAAAAAAAAATGTTTTGATGTTGGTGCTGCTAAAACAGGATTAAATATCTTAATTGTACAACAATAGAAGATGAAAAAGAATCCTCGTAGTAAAACACATCGGAATTAGCACATGTTCAAGTGAAGACACACGTAGTCAAGATACAAACCTATGGGATATGCTGAGATAAATGTGTGTGAATAAATGGCTACTGCGATCCATCGACAAGACAGCGGTAGATTAGAGCGTCTCCCATGATTAACGGATAGCGACTGAAGGAATGTGCCGGTGATAAATGGCCGAGGAATTCAGATTGCATCTCGAATACCTTTCAACGCGTTATCGGGTCATTAAAGGTACCGTTGTCGGGTGATCTAAAAATACGCAGCCGAAGTTGTCAGGTTTATTGTGAATGAGCCGATAAAAGTCCGTCACCGCATTAGCAAGGTGCGCATTCATTGGACCATACAGAGGTATACCGAGGTATACAGATACAGAGGTATACAGAGGTATACAGAGGTCTATGATTGGACTAATTCCAAAAAAAAAGTTTCATTGGTGGTGGGAAAGTGGACGCTGAACAATATTTCCCGCCAACATTACGAACAAGTATTGCACTTACAGTCGTCCATTCACGTATGGGTACCTTCATGTTTATAAATAACTAGAGAGGAAACGAGGAGGAAGAGAATAGGGGAAAAGAAGGGGAAATGAGAAGTCGCATAGCCATCAAACCACTGGCGCCCGGTGGTCGATGCGATGCCGTAGGAAAAGCGCGGCGTCGCTGGCGAGCAGCTTTATCACTCTCTGTTCAGAGCCTCTCCTGTCTCCACATCATCGGGCAGTTGTAGACGGTCAGGGCGCACAGCGGACCGGGTATTCACCAATCTGGCCCGTCAGCGGCCCGGCCGGCCCGCTATCGGTCCGGCCCGCCCCGGCCCGGCGCCGGCTGGGAGCGTTATCCTGCTCCGGCCATCAGCCCAGGGCCAGGTGACCTCATAGGAGCCCCGGGGCGCTGTTCACACCTACCCCAGCGCCCAGCACCCCGCGTGCAGGGCGCCGGGTGCCGCCGGCATCTGCCCAGTCTGTTCAGTGACGTCATATGACGGCCCCCGGGGGACCGGGCTGACCTCAGCCGGGCACAGTGGGCCAGTGACGTGATACGAGAGAACAGAGCCGTGAACTCAGCCGTGCCGACAGGCTGCTAGGGGTAATCAGCCGCCAACAGCTTCCATCAACTGCTGATTGTTCCGCCTCCATGCAGACCATTTCAACGAGTCGAATCAGAAATCACCACGTTCCGTCACGGATCCATGTGAACGGTTCAAAGCTGCCATCAAGACTGCTTCGCAGTAACGTAGGTAGTGAGAATCTAATGCTGACACCGATTGGCATTAAAACTCTATGCAGTACCTTATTGACAGTGATACGTTTATCGATTGTCCAAATTCATACATGAGGTGGAGCTGTCGACTGATGTGTGGCTAATGAGGAACTGGTGTGAAATATGGCCCCCGTCGCTGAAATGTAACGACATGCCATAAATCAGCGGTTCCAGGGTGTTGCCACGTGCGAGGAGGCATCCTTACGGTTTCTCCACATGCAACCCTGCTTCGAAGAATCAGGGTGCTTTCGTTCTGGAAGTTTTTGAGCTAAAGAACGTTTTACATAGGACAGCACGATTAGTGACCTGGTAAGGCAGGACCGTGTCGTGACGAAAAGAGGGAAAAGAGCAGAAAGAGAACGATGATAAACAAACTGTAGTGGTTAGCATGCATCGTAAGGTGTGAGGTCGGGGAATCTGCATAACCACCGCCGAAGGGACCGAACCACAGTGGCTGGATCGGCGGGCCCGTCTGACACCGGAGACGACCGCGGACCCTGACACGGTGTGACACGACACGACACGACACCGGATCCGCCCGAGGGAGATGTGATTTCGCACACGCACACGCAGAACGCCTACCGCCCGCCGCCCACCGCGCACCATCCACCGCCCACCACCCACCGACTACCGTCCACCGACCACCAACTGAGTGGAATCTATCGACCGAGACCTACAAATGATCAACGATTGAAGATGTGCATGAAAAAAGTTTTTTTCCAATATATTTATCGAGTAACTTTGCGCGCATTTCATGACTTATCGTCCAGAAGCTGTTTTGGTTGAAGAAAAAAACTACAGTCCTTCAGACCTTTCATGCATAATGATACCTGAGAAGGAATCATCTACATACAAAGAGCGGAAACCCATCCACTGAAGCCGAGCACACAAGCAGGCGCATTTTCACTGTGCAGCACTTTGTCCTGCACGAGTAGAAGCCGGCATTCTCGCTAACTACCAAGGGAATAAACATCCGTCTCCAAAAGTCCCGGTACGCGGTCAACTAAAACATCTACCGAGCTCATAATTCGACCTGCCCGACATTCTTCGACAAATCCTAGCCGGACCGAGCGGCGTCACCTGAGACAAGGATTTCCTCCCGGGGCGTACCCGCGTGCCGAGCGCCGGCGGATCCAGTGGCAGCGTCTGCAGTCCAGACGCCGAGGCGAGACCCGAGACAGGTCCACAACAATGCAGAGGTCGCGGTCTGAGAATCGTCGCATTCCAGCGGCTCCGATGTCGGAGTCGACAGAGGCGGCCCGGGCCGACGACTGGGGCTGATCGCAAATAAATATTTAGAACGGCGCTGGTGCAGGGCGCCGTCGCGGAGGAGCAGAGGCTGCTCGGTCATATGGTGAAGGCAAGGGGTGTGGTTCGTGAAAAGAAAACAGACGTCGGACATCCACAAAGACGCCGCCGCACGCCGCAGCGGGCGCAGCAACAGATCAACTTCAATCTCCATTTCCAATCGTGAGACCCCACAGATGCACTGGATTACATTCCTCAGAGCCAATTGAACTTGTTTCGAAGTTTACAGTGGCACACACTTCATCCACCCAACGGCTTTACGAGCGGAACCACCTTGCTTTCCTTCTAATAATCGGAGCTCAACAGAGCAGCAGACAAGGCCTCGGACAGCTCGTCCCGATTACCTTGTTCTAGTTACCTGTGCCTGCATCCGCAATCACGCTCTCATAAGTCATGCCGTTTCCCGAGTCGACTCTCTCTCTCTCTCTCTCTCTCTCTCTCTCTCTCTCTCTCTCTCTCTCTTTCTCTCTCTCTCCGCCATTATTAGCCATCTGTGCAGTGTGCACCGCACAAGCAGGCGGTCATTTCGGCCGTGCAAGTGGCGCAGATTGACCTCTCCTGTGACCGGCGGAATTCAGGTCAGCGTGGGGGACGGCGGGACCCCCGAGGTCGGACCGGGGGGAGGCGTCATCCCCCGCCGAGGAGCCCCGCTGGGTCCCGCTGGTATCCAATCTGGCTGATACCGTCTCCACCGACGGTCATCCGTGGCGGTCTCCCGAGGAGCATCATTACAAGCATTACGCCGCTATCACGGCCCATTACGCCACCTTTGAAGTACCGGCTGCCACGGCCGTTTGATATGGCCGCGCTGATATCGGACCGTACTATTAGCGCTCCGAGAGGAGACTGCAAAAATGAGGGCCCATTTAATATCGAAAAATGACAATGATCAGGTTATTTCGGGGACCGTGGCAACCCACAGCGGCCACAGCCCACGGGTAAGGTTTGGTGATAAGTGGTAAAACAAGTAGGTACTGTATCTATGGATCAGGCAAAGTCTAAACTTTGCACCAAAAAAAAAAAAAAAAAAAAAACAGAAATAAGTCATGGAATGAGCTCGATGATAAAACCAACCTTTGACAGAGACTGGCAATCCCCCAGTGAGTGAGAGGAGATGACATTTTAGCCCCGATGCACACATCCTCTATCAATTTAAAACAGGTAATGGAATGACCCATTCGACAATTATTAGCGGCTCGATCCAAATGATCCATGATAAGGAGGGAGTGTATCTTACGACAGCCAACCCGGTTGTTCGTTCATTCGTGCTCTCTCAAAAAGAAAAGTTTCACCGTGTCATCCTCGTCCTGCTGGACTTCTAACCAGAATCTGATCTTGATGAATGCCACCACACAAACGCTGTATCCTCCCCCGTCCCCGTGCATTGGCGATATGCATCACGGCTCCGAAGAATGGCCGGTGATTGGCACGCGACTCCTACCAATGAGCAGGTGAAGGGACTGACGTGAAAGGACTGATTCAGGAGCGATCCTATGTGTGCGTTGTTACATGAAGGGAGAGCGGAGTGAATGCTCGTTACGGTTACCCACGCACACCACTAGCACTGCGTTCTGCTTGGCGCATGAACGTATAAGGAAACCAATAGACTGACCATGCAGCATGTTCGACAGGGAATTCTCCAAATTTGTCCAAACCAACGGAAGCTGTTGCTCTGACCTCCAGCCAGCTTCCCTGCCTTCACAACTTCACACTCACTCGTGTGACCGACTGACCCACAACCCGCCCTCTGAGGCCTCCCGTTCAACCGGTCGTCGGTCAG